AGCCTGCCCGGGGAAGATGCTCATAGCAAATGCCTTCATCATCTGGGTGATGGCAGTGAATGAAAATTGGATGGAATGAGGGCACAGGCTTCAGAGCGGCCAATATTTTAGTCGGAATGTTGCAGCCTCTGCCCACCCAGCACACATCTTTCTTGAGGAAGTGTGGAGTATGGACATACCAAGCTCACACAGGAGGCCGTGGTTGCCGCTCCTGGCTCCCCTCAGCTTGTGAGCTCTGGCCTAGGTTTTCACATTTAGAGGAATATTTTCCTCCTTTCCAATCTCACATCCTCACATTTTCTGCTTTTCCTTGTCAGACTTGTGTTCTCAAGCCATTCCTGATAGGCATGAGCATTAGGCATTGCTCCTAGAACAAACACCCTTCTTCCTAAGAAGGGCACTGTGGGGGAAAAGTCACTAAGGGAACCCTATGTCCCTTGAGTCAGTTCCTTGAGTCCTTGAGATCCTGCCTCAGCGGGTGCCTTTTGACTTGGAGACTGTAGGGGAGAAGAGAAAGGGCCTCTACTGAAGAAGGATCTTGAGCCACATCAGGGCTCGGGAAAGATGCTTGGGATTGAGGCTGTGGTGTGGCCATACCTGCAGGGCTGGGCGGGCATGGTGGTACCTTGGTGACGTGACATTTGCCACTCTTCAAAGGAAAGGTCTTATGAATGGGGAAGGTGTCAGGGATGTTGGGGAGGGAGCCATCTTGGTTGTGAATCTTTGGGGCCACTGAGAAGCTCCTGGAACTCACAAGGGAACCCCTGAGGACTGGGTTTGCTCATGGATCATCAGCAATGGAGGCTGTTGATAAGAATTGCCGTCCTGTCGCACACAGGTCTGGAAGTCGTTGCTGCCCTGGGTATTAGGCACTGTGCCACAGAGCTCTGACTCCTCCTGAGGTATCTTGTGTCCCTCCCCAGCAAGGCTTTGATAGGGCCAGGGACCTGACTTCCCACCTCCTGCTCTTGGGTAGACTTGCTCTCTTTTTTGTTCTGTTTCCTGTTTCAGGGCTTTGCAAATGTTCTCAGGTTTAAAAAAAAATCATGTCTGTTGCTAAACAGAGTGCATTTCTAAAAAACCTTTGCAGAATGTAAGGTTCCAAGAGCATTCCAGTCCCTGAGACGGTGGTGTGTGTGTGTGTTTTTTTTTCCCCCCCTCTCACCTACAATTTCAGTTTCCTTTTTTTCCCCTGGCGGCAGCTTCTTCGTGAGTTGTGGCTGGAGCTTGTTTCCATGGTCCTTGAAGCCAAACAAGGTGGGGGTGGGGTGCATGAAGTCACTGTGGTCCTGCAGACCTGGCTTCTAGTACCTTATCTCCGGGCTTGGCTCTGCTGGGGCTTGTGTCCACCAGCCAAATGATGCAGTTTGAACTCTGGGCGGTAGGGGGGGGGGGCGGTGATAAAGAATATTATAAGCCATTAGCTCAAGGTTCTGAGGCCCCAGGAAGGCACCCAGTGGAGTTGTGTGGAGTTGAAGGCTTCCCTAGAAACATGCCATTTGTAGCCAGGCTCCTCCAGGCTACAGGTGAGAAGCCCGTGGGTCCTGGCTACCTGGGTTCCAGTTCAGTCATCTTGCTTATTCTCTGGTCCCTGCTGGACTTTGCCTGGGCATGGTGCAAGGGTCAGCTCACCAGAGGGTCTTTGTTTTAAGATGCTTGTGATCGTATCACATAGATTCCCCCTATGTGTTCATACTTATGTGCTGTGGATTGAACCAAGTGAAATCGTCATTGCTCAGGCTCTTCTGACCTGAACTTCCAGTTTGTCTCATGGACCAACACTAGCCATCAGAGGGACAAAGCCTACTAGTGACCCTGTTCCTGCTCTGCCTTCTCTTGTTGCTGGTGACTAGGGAATGGAGCTTTGCTCCAAATGAGCCCAAGGCCTCCTGAAAGGAAGATAGGAATTTTGGAGTGGGTGGGCAGTGGATGGCAGTGAGTGATGGTTCTGAGGAGGCTGTGCTGAGACTTTGCACGTTCCAGTCTCCAGGGTCCTGAAAGCTGTGCCTATGTTTGAGGCAGGGTAGGGAGATGGATGAACCTGTCCTGGCATGGTGCAGGGCGTAGGTCATGGCTATGTGGGGGTAGGGGGCAGGGCTGACATTTCCATGCTGCCTGAGCTGGGAGATCATCATCTTTTTATGTCCGATCTTTGTTCACACCCAGCTAGCTCAGCATCCTCTGCCTCTCAGATAAAGGAGGGTTCAGGATGCCTTTGGCCTCCACACTCCTTAGTCTGGAGGAGCTGAGGTTAGGGGAGGTCCAGGCAGAGGCCTGGGGAGGCTGTTGTCTGCATCTGTACACAGTGGAGTTGATGGCATTGTAGTATTTCTAAAGTGGGTGGCCCCCATGGGGATGTATGGTGTCCCCTGCTGAACCAGGTCCTCTCTGGCCCTCCGTGGGGCAATAGCTGCCCTTCGAGCTGCTCAGAAGGAGCATGGAGGCAGCCCCGGCCCCTTAAGCCTAGTCAATGGCCTTCCTGCTTGTCATCTGCCAGCACATGCTATAGTTGAGGTGTGTCGTCATGAATCTTGGAGCCCGTTGTGGGCAGTGCAGTCCCTGTACCTCTGTACTTGTGTCCACTTGGGTATTATTTATAATCCACTGGTCCTGATCACCAGAGACCAGTGAAGGAACCTGATGTCACATGTTACATGTCTAACCTGGAATCCTGGTACTCTGTCACTACAGGGGGGCCAAGACACAGCACCCACTTTCTCTTGTTGAACTGAATAAAGACTGTTAAGTTCTGGGAATGTAGCTTGTTGTTAGAGCACTTGCCTAGCATGCAGGAGGCCCTGATTGGATGCACTGCACTTGTAAATAAATAAAGGAAGAAAGGAAGGAAGGAGAGAAGGAAAGAAAGGAAAAAAAAGGAAAGAAAGAAAGAAATCCTAGCCCTAGGTTGGTGATGAGGAATGATGAAAGTTTCTTGTCCTGAGCCACAGTGGTGAACACCTGTGGTATCAAGCAGGATCCAGGTAGCCTGGCTCACACCCATCAGAGGCTCAGTGGAACCCACAGCCCATCAGTGGTAATCTCTGCCCTACCGTTAAATTCTAGCCCAGTAGCACTTTATCCAAACAACTGATGCGTGGAATGTGTATTCCAGAGAGTGGGGTGTTAGGTGGGGCACAACAGTTCCTTCTGTGACATTGTTTTCGTGAATGTGGAGACAGGATAGTCCAGGTTGGCTTTGAATTCACTGTGTAGCCTAGGATAACCTTGAACTTCTGATTTTTATGATTCTACCTCTCAAGTGTGGAGATTGCAAGCATGCATCACACTCAGTTTTATTCCTTGCAGGGGGTTGAATCTTGGACCTAGTATAGGCTAGTAACCAAGCCCACAGACATCTGTGACTTTTGGCTCTGCTCCACTGGGAAGATCCTTGGAAAGTGTGTGCAGACGTATCCAGAGTTGTTCCTTGAAACAGGTAGCTGCTCTGGAGACTCTGAGTGAGACAGAGATGTGGTCTGCCCCGGGCCCCTTCCTGCTGGGTTGAGGAAGTTTCTAGGTAGGTGCTGCATAGCCTGCATTTCCAGTGCTCTCTGTTGCACAAGGCTCGGCCACTGAAAAGCCACACAGAGAAAGGTGGCAGAAGCTTGCCGTGCAGGCGTCTCTGACTAGAGCGCCTGTTTCTTTTCTTTTGGTCTTGAGTGCGCCAACTTTCCCTTCAGACTGGGCAGACATTTTTTAAAGAAAGGTTTCTTAATGAAAGCTGTATTAATTCTTTAGTTTTTAGGTTTTTTTTTTCCCTTCACCAATTAAGTCAAATATTTTATTAACCTAGTTGCCACAAAAATGAACATACCATTTGAACGTGGATGTATTTGTAAATAAAAAGATGCCGCACAATGCCACAGTGCTTTTGTACAGATGTGTCTTGTCCTCTGCAGCCTCTGCAGGCCACCCAGCTCCTCCTGCTTTGGGTTCCCCGAGCAGGGATCTCCCTCTGGGCGTCAGGGTTTCCCTGTCACTGCAGGGCCAGGGACATCTGCAGCCTCTTTGGTATCAGGTGGACTGTCTTTTCCTGGTCTGCTTGGTTTCATCTAAGCACCTCTCACCCTTGTCCAGCATCCTAGAGGGGAGCAGCAGGCCGTTGCTCCCGGCCCTGACTCCTGCTGGGTCTGAGCATCGTGTACCCTTCCGAGAATGATGACCAACTTGACTTTGAATGTGGTGTGAGTGACTTGGCTTTTTGGGCGACTGAAGAGATAACAGGAGTCATTTGAGGAAGACTCTCAGGAGTGAATTATGTTGGAAAGTGCAACCTGTGGCAACCTTGTGGTGGCCACTACCGCAGGCTGTCATTTCTGACAGGAAATGGCACACGGGAAGTATGAAAGTCATGTGAGCAAAGCCATGGACAATGGTTGTGGGCTTGTCAGGTGTGAGGCAGGCTGGGGGATAAGCACCATGGCTGAGTCCGCCAGGACCGAGGGACTCCTTGTCTTTCTGACATACCCCAAACCACCCTGGCTGAATCACCTCCCTGAGGATCTTCATATCCAGCAGAGACTCTTTCTGCACCCTGCAATCTTGTAACCAGTTCTAGTTATCATCTGTCTTTTTCTTTTTTGTGAGATTTCAGAAAGGTAACTGTTGTAGTAGAATACAACAAGATGAAAAGCTGGCCTGATACAGGGTCAGGTCCAGGCAGGTCAGGCTTCTGCCACAGTGGCTCCACATTGTGCCGAGGATCAGGAAAGCCATCAGGTCTGCTGTGGACATGAGGAAGGTCCGGAGCTTGAGCTGGGGGAGGAATGGACAGCATGAGAGGCCTTCAGCATTGCTGGGGGGTGGATTACACACCACAGCCTTGAGGCCAGAAAGTGTGAACTTGGGCAAGTCATGGCCTCCAGGGTGGGAGTAAGGTGGGGGGCTGGTGTGACCCTTCTGTAGTGCCCTTTCCTCGCTTCCAAAAATGACATCTAGGGGACATTTTGATTTGCTTTGAGTCGTGACATGTCACCTCACATTTCCATCTTCTATTGCAGATGCTTTCGTGAACAGCCAGGAATGGACACTCAGCCGATCTGTACCGGAGCTCAAAGTGGTGAGTGGCACCTCTAGCCTGTAGGAGGCACTTAGAATAAGCAGGGTGTGAGATTGCAAGCTTGCCCGTACCTACTCCATTCTGTTTCCTGGGGCCTGAAGGGTGGGGCGTGCTTTCTCTGGGGCGTATGCACCTGGCCAGGCTCTCACTGGCGATAGGAGCTAGAACTTTGAGTGTGTCTGGCAGAGCCATAATTGCCATCCAGAAGGTGGTGGTCTGTGTACAGGACTAAAGCATTATCTCTGTGCATTTCCCCCGCCCCGCTCTGTGCCACTCTGTGTCTGCGTCACACACATACACTTGTATGCACGTGCCACCGTGGGCTTAACCTGTCCCTTGCTGGGTGTTATGACAACCTCTGAAACAAGCCATCCATAGTCATAATTTTTAAAAAGTAACTACTGTTTATACAATTGTGAACCCTTGGCGTAAGTTAAGTGTTCTGCTTTTAATAAAAGCAACTTCCAGCAGAGTTAAAGCTTATCGCTGGCTTCTGTGAATGTTGTCCACGACAGTCATCTCATAGAGCCCGGCTCCATTGCATGCCTCTGACCTTGGCATGGAAGGAAGGGACAAGCCCACATTTTAAATAATAGTGTTGTTTGTCATGAGATGTGGGGCTCTTGGTTGTGTTTGTACGCATGCACGCACGCACACACGCAAGCACGCACACACTCCTGTTTCCCCTGTGCTGGACTCTAACTTATCTGCTGGAAGACAGATGAGCTCTTGCCCATCAGCAAGCTTCAGATGGCGGAGGACCTCCATGTGGGCTGCCCACTCACTGTGCATCTCTTCATTTAGTTCACTCTTTGCCCTAGCACTTTCCCAGTGACCTGCCTGAAGCTCCAGGGTCCCCCCATATCTGCTGCCCCAGCCTCAGTGATGCAGAGAGGATGGGATAAGGAATTTTGTGTCTCACACCTGAGATGGAAGTAAGCCCCTCCCTCCAGAACACCAGTGTGTCTCAGCAGTGCCTGCCAATGGGGTGGTTCCTTTATGGAAGCCAGCCCTCCTCCCAGCCTCTGGGGTTCCGCAAGACGGCCCTGACACAGCTACCTCGCCCGTCTTCTGTATTTCATAGCTACTATAACTTGCACAGTATTAGCGTGTTCTGTAAACCCGATGAATGAATGTCAGAGGGTGCCCATGCCATTAACAGGACCTTTTCATAAAGATTGGCCAGTTTCCGATCCTCCTGGTGGGAACCCCAGGTGCTGACCCCTCTGGTTCTACAGTCACTGACAGCCAACAAGGTCAGGGTGTTTGCCCAGATGTTTACGAGGCTGCACTGCTGGGCATGCTCTGCCTGCAGGTCCCGTGTAATTACAGCCTTCAGTCCTGACAGTTACCCCAGGAGGGGCAGGTCCTGTTGTTAGCCTCTGTCACAGATGAGGTCTGGGGCGTGAAAAGCTTCCTCGGAAGCCATCTAGGGTAGAGATTCGAAGCCAGCACTGCCTTGGAGAGCCTCCTGTGTATCTGTCCCCAGTATTGCTAGAGCTTCTGGCCCCAGGTGTCCGTTGAAGTCAGCACAGCAGCAGGGTGGGGTGGGGTGGGATGCCACGCTGCGCTTCAACTTTCTGGCAGCACAAGAGACGGCTGGGAACCCGTGTTATTGGGGGCTGTCTTCCCGAGAGCCTGCCTGAACTAAAAGGTGTTGCAGGTTTCGGGGCCTGAGTGGGTTTTGTTTGGCTGGTTTGGGCTTTTTAAGACAGTATCTTACTTATGTACTGGGCTGCTGTGGAGCTCACTGTGTAGCCCAGGCTAGCTTTTAATTTACCCTCTTGCTGGCTCAGCCTCCCAAGTGCTAGAATTAAACAGGCTTGTGACTCGACACCTGATCTGGTCCACATATTCAGTAATAACTGAGGATGAGTGCTACCAAAACTTTATTTTCGGCTGTGTGGCTTTCTGTTATAAGCATTTGGTGTGTCTAGCAAGTATCGACATTTAAAGAGTCAGTGTAGAGTTCTTCTAAATGTGACTTTCTTCCAGCTGGGCCGGCTTGAGCTCTCTGCCTTTGACTTGTCCTGTAGTCAAGGGCCACGAGCTCTGCTGTGGTGTGCGCCCTCTCGTGGTTGGCATCAGCAGGCACCTCGTCGTCGTCAAGGGCACCTCAGCCCATCCTTGTGTGGTGAGGATGCTCAGGTCCGGAGAAACACCCCTTTGTTCTGGGAAGCATCTCCCTTGGCATGCCCACAGGGCTGTTACTGTTTCTGCCCTCAGGCAGCACCCGAGACTGGTGGCCCTTTAGGTCATCGCCTGGGGACCCTCAGCCCTGCCTGGAAGTGTAGCCATGGAATGATGTCACTGGGTCTCCCAGGGGGCCTTTTATGGAGTGTGTTTCAGTGCGTCTTTCGGAATCCGTCAGGACGTACAGTTCACCATTGCTCCTTGTGAGAGGGGTGGGCCTCTGCCGGGGCTCCTTCCTGATGGGCTGTAGCTGTGCTGTAGCTGCCGCCGCGGTCAGCCCCGCAGACAGACGTGGGTCAGGCTGCACAGGCTCCATGCCCCCGCCTGGGTGGAAGCGGTCGGCAGACCTTGCCTGCAGAGCTGCCGCTGTTGACTTTGCTCGTACTCTGAGCTGGGATTTTGACTGAAAGGCTTCTTTTGTTTTGCAGTAGAATGGTGTTTAGTGGTGGAGTAGAAAACACAGGGTGCTGGAGAACCAGGTTTACAAAGGGGCTCTGCTTTGCTTCCTCTGGTGGACAGCATGGCCGCAGAGCCCTGACTGATGGCTTGCACAGGTGAGACGAGGTGACAGCTCTGTTATCATCAGGGCACCCCCTTCCTGCCCATGAAGCCCTCTGTTCCTTCTCTGCAGGTGACATTCAGGAGTGGCTGTCACCGTCTCACAGGAGGGCCACATCCTAACGGATGGTAGTCTCTACCAGTGTTTCAAGTTGAAACAGTGCTGCTCACAGTCTGTGAGATGGGTGTGCAAGCCAGGCAGCCTCTGTCCGTCCCCAGCCCAGGGTAGATGGCACTGGCCTGCTCAGGGATGTGCCATACCTCTGCCCATTGTTGCAGAGAAGAGTGGCAGGTGTCACCACATAGAGAAAGCCTGGCTGCACAGTGCTGGGTTTCTTCCTCCAGGAAGAGAAAGTGATCTTAATTAAACATTTCATTTCTGTGGCATTTACTGGCTTGGATTTTCTCAGCTTGAAGCTGACGAGCAGCAGGTGCCCTTGAGCAAAAGAATAATTAATAGACAGATATTCTCAAATTGTGGAGGTTCAAGGTAGGAAGATTCAGGTTGGACTTGGAAGGGAGACAGCGTTGTGCAGGAGCCGTCCACATGCTCTGGCCCTCAGCCCAGCTCTCAGTGGCAGAGAGAGCTCATTTATACTCACTAGTGGTAGTCATCCATCCATCCATCAGCCATCCACACACTGATTCCATGGGGGCTGTGCATCTTCTTTGGGCTAGGTGCCTTGGCCGGGCGGAGAACGGGACACAGTCCCTTCCCATAAGGTGAAGGCTGTGTTGTGCTGTAGTGCAGCCACAGGGCTTCTTGCTGGCCCCAGGTGAGGCTGTGGCCTGAAAGTGTCCTCATCCATCCAGGCTGCTGTGACAAGATATGGTGCCTTGTGAACAGTGAAACCTGTGTTCATAGTTCTAGAGGTTGGAAGTCAAAGGAACCTGCAGATTTGAGGGCTGGTGAGGACTTAGGGAATCATCTGCTCTGTAGATCACTGGTAGGATGTTTTTTCCCCTTTCCTCCCTGCTGGGCCACATTCACATGTATGCTGATTTCCATATGGATAGTGTCCCTGTGACCCATCCCTTCTCAGAGGCCCTACCTCCTAATACATCTCCTGGGGCCTGAGGGAACACAAGCATTCAGAAACTGATAGAATTGGTCCTCAGAGGTGGTGATGTCTGAACTGGCTGCAGATCCTGAGCTGGAGTAGGATTTGGGGCCATGGTTAATCAATGTGGAAAGTTGTAGTCACCTGGAGACAGTACAGCCTGTAGAGAGGAGATTGGAGGCTTCTGAACATAGGAGACAAAACCAGGAAATAGGAAGGCTGGGGGCTGCAAAGCCTAGTGAGAGGGCCGGGCAGCTTGTGGATTTGGGGATCGTCACACAGACCAATGAACTATAGGGGCAGTTGGGAGGGAAGAACATGGGATTGATATATGGTCATTGAGCAAAAATTAGAATGCACAAGGCTGCTGAGTGGAGCAGCTCCCTGGAGAGAGGGAGGGAGCGGGGGAGATGTAGGGCTCCTAGCACAGGCTAAATAAGTGCCCTTTCACCAGAGCCCTGGTGTCAGCCTCGCCTGCCACCCTGGTTACCGCTGGACAGTGGCACTCACACCACCCTTGCCCTCTCCTGTTATTTTTCCACCTGCTGGGGTCACCTTGGCTGTCCCTGCCACAGCTTGGCTGTTGTTTTCCTCTTGGTTGTGTGTTTCTGAGAGGCAGGCTTGCTGTGCTCCCCTCGCCCACCCCAGTTACTCTGTCTCCAGCTTGCCCAAGTTCACCTTCCTAGGGTGGAACGTACCAGATGGCCCTATCTGCCAAGGGCTCTGTGTTGTAGCATCATGTCCCATGGAACCTTTCCATCTTAGTATCTAGGGAGGCTCCTATCCCTGTGGACAGTTGAGCCAGTACACATGTGCCATATACAGCTAGCGTGGGTGTTCCCGGAAGAGTGCCAGCATGCTGACACCCAGCATCCGGGACTGGCGAGGACAGGAGCACCTAAGTCAGGCTTGACTCTGTCTCCAATAGAAACAGATGCTGAATTCATTTTTCAGTCTCTCTCCAGCGCTTTTGGGAGGGTGATTTAAACCCTGTGTGGGGTTACTACGTATTTTAACTGCTGTGTGAGAAAAACTAACTGAATGGTTTAACCACTCCTAACTGTTGTCTCTTTCTCTCACTCTCTCTCTCTCTCTCTCTTTTGCTGCAGGGAATTGTGGGTAACTTGGCCAGCGGCAAGTCCGCACTGGTGCACCGGTACCTGACCGGCACGTACGTGCAGGAGGAGTCTCCAGAAGGTATGTTGTTGGGCAGGTGGTTAGCTACCAGCTTAGATTTTAGGGTTTAAAATTTTTTTTTTAGCATATTCTAAATCATTGATGACCCATGCCAAGGCCATAAGAAAGCCACCGAGCATCAAAGAGACTTATGTAGACTTTCCGTCCTATAGGGCTTTAGTGCATTCACTCCAGCATTTTGAGCATTAACCGTGAGATGTTCTTGAGTGCATTTCCACTGTAAAGCATGTCCTCTCGAACCTTAGTCCAGTGCTGCTCCTTTGAGTATGGGTCGGACATCTCTCTGATCTGGACACTGACCTTGTAATGCTGTTTAGTCACAGACACCAGCATTTCTAAATACAATCCAGATCACCCCACTATGTGTTTGAGTATGTTTCCCTTTATATTGTATTACAAACATGTAATAATCATTTTGCATGTGAGTTGGGCATTTCTTTTGCCATTAGACATTTTGATTCTTCCGTTGGCATATCCATGTCTGACTGTGGTTCTGTTTCTTTTTTACTTTAAGGAAGATTATGACAGTGGTGATAGGAAGCCCCGTGGTCCCCGAGTCAAAGTGTAGCTCACAAGCCATTTTATAAACTATTTTCTCCCCATGTAACCTTTTGAAATCCAACTCTGAGACACTGAATTTCTGGTTCCTTCTTTTTCTTACTGGCTGTTCCATTCTTTGCAGATATGGACGCAGGTAACTATACATTTTCTTCATGGCAGTGCTTGTCTCGTTCTGGAGAGAGGAGAGGCACAACCTTGTACTGTAGCGCTCCCTTCCCACCGCGGTCTGTGTCTCATCCTGTTTGGTTTCATTTCACCTTTTTCTTTAAGTTCACCATTCCACCTGTTTTGTCCCTTAGCTGTCTTCTGAGTAGTAGTCCTAAGTAGCTCCACGTGTCCCCTGTAACACATGTTTTAGCCCCTTAACGCTTGTCCTAAAGACTGTGGAACCATCTAGAAAGAACAGAATTCTGAGGGCCTTGCTTGGGGCTCTGCCACCATTCTGCAGTATTTCCAACCATGTTGTGAAAGCTTCACGGCTGTCATATCAGGGAAATGCCCACTTTTCAAACTCTCCCCCGTGGATCGATGATTTGGGAAGAGGACAGGATTCAAACAAAGGTTTATGAGTGAGACCAAATGGACAAAGGCTCGATTTTGTGGGGACTACAGACCAGGTACTCAGAACTCACAGTGCGGAGGAGGGAGAAAGGTAGTATCTGTCACTCCCAGGTCCCGCTGAGGGTCATGGCAGGGCTTTCCTCTTTGTGCCTGAGTGTGAATGGTCATCACAGCTAGCTGGATTAGACTTGGAGTCTATAGTGCTTTCATCTCAGGGCTCTGTGTAGCGGGATTCACTGTCGTACACTTGGTGGACACCAGCTACTAAGGGTCTGCAGCTAACCCACCTGCAAGGCAAGCATACGCCTTTTTCAGACAACCCTGTTTTGAACGTCTTCCAACATCCACAGTTCGGGGGAGGATGGCTGGAAGTTTCAGGCCAGCCCCGCCCCGATCTCTTACTGTCACTCTGTGGCTCAGAAGTCTAGGGCTTTAGAGGTAGGTTGTGCCAAAGTTGCTGATTCTAAGGGAAGAGGCAGGACCACATCCACCTCTGGTCATTACTGTGGTGTCTGTCATCTTCCCGTTGGACATTCAGTCTGTCCTAACACGCTTGTGTCCGACTTGATTTATTTGCAGTGTAGAACGTGGCCTTCTATTTTGATCAACACAGCGGTGTCTCTCTTGAATGTTCACACATCAGAAGTAAAAATGTACCCTGTGAGATGACCTCACTGGCTGCTAACACCCCGTCCCCATCATCTGCAGAGTGGGAGTATATCATCCCACTGGCAGACACACAGCTGAGGACCCCTGGATCTGGGAGACAGAATTCAGGATCTCTCTCACACCCTCACCCTGCCCACCTGTCCATCCTCTTGCTGTGGACCTTGTGCCTAGGGCGATTGTTCTGTGTGATGGAGGAGCTTAGAGCAGCACCATGCCCAGGTGGATCCAGCAGGATGCTCAGCTACATCTACTGTGAATGAGGAGGCCTCTGTGTGCCTGGAAGCCCCTTGGCCTAGGCAGGTCTGTTTCCATAGAGCTGCCCATGTGTTCCTCTTTGGAATGTAGCAGGTCGAGCTATAGTCTTTGTGCTGGTTTCTGTTTCCTGTCCCCACGATCCCTGGTCCTATACTAGGAGCAGGAGGCAGAGGAACGTGTGTGATCAGCCTGTGGTTCCTCCACTGCTGCCTCGCAATCCCAAGATTCTTCTATGAGGTCAGGGAACTTAGGGCTGGGCGATGGTTGCAGTCTTTTCCCCATGAGTTACTGTAACCAGTTACCCATGCTCACTGAAACAGAGAAGCTGCATGGACAGCTGTAGGATTGGCAGCTGATTTACTGTCTTTATCCAGGAGTGTGGAGAGGGAGGTGGTGTGGGTCATCAGGTGTGCAGGAAGTTGTCAAGGACAGCAGTCGCTCCACCTTCCCTCCAGTGACTCCTTACCCCCCGGGTGGGAGGTGTAGCTCATGGGAGAGGGATGGAGTTGGTGCCTGGCTGAAACTTAGGGTTTGGAGTGAGCTGTGTGGCCTCCGATTTCTTTGTGTTCCTGTTGCCTTCTGATCTGTCCTTTGTGACACTTCATTTTTCCATCGCCATGACAAGTCCCCAAGGTTAATTGCTTTAGAAAGAAAACTGGTTTATTTTTATTTTAGCCCACAGTTGGAGAGGCCGAATGTCCAAGACTGGTCAGCTCCACGTTTGGAGTCTAGTGAGGTCTCGTGGTGGCCTCACAGCCAGAGCATGTATGACAGGGCCATGACGAAACAGGAAGCCGGAGTGTGGGACGGGGCCAGTGTTGCTCTTTCTGCAATTCATCCTACTGAGAACGAACTGTGGTCCTTCCAGACCCACACTCATCCCTTCTGAGGACGGAATCTCCAGTGGGTAGTTTCCCTGCACGGTTCCCCACCTGGGAAAGGATTCACCACCTTCTGTGGTTGGGACGCAGGCTTCCTGTGTACAAACCTTTGGAGACACACTCAAACCATGTCCAAGCCACCGAAATCCCCGAATGCTAGAGCAGTCAGCTGGACAGCTGCCACTCTGTCATCCACATGGCTGTGTGTCTGCCAGTCTGCAGCTCACTGGATTCCCCCCATTCTTGTTGATGGTGTGCGGGGTGGTGGTGGGGAGTTGTTCCTCTAGTTTAATGCACACATAAATATCCTTTGTTGTAATCCCGACTTGCCCCTGGGAAGTTTGGGTATTGGGAGGGATAATGTGTCACGGAGCTTAAAACAGAACTCCACTCATTCAGGAGAGCTGCCTCTTGGCAGGAACGTTCCTGGTGCAGTCATCCTGGACTGTTTTCTTCAGATACCTCTCAGGGTCACCTCACAGGGTGGCTCAGTTGTCTTTCTTGAGTGACACCTTTTTAGCTGACATTTTATTCTATGAGAAAAGAGAGTTGACTTGAAAGCCTTGGAGATGTAGTCCAGAGAAAACACTTTGTGCATTATGCTTGATGCTGCTTTTAATTAGTGACTCGGGGCAAACCGGTTTGTCTCAGCAGGGAGCTCAAAGAGTGTAGTCTGTGTATAGGCAGTCTCCTTCAGGAGTGAGCGTGTTTGTAAATGTGTGTGTTTGTGGTGTATGATTGGCACCAGAGTCCCAGTAAAGTCCCTTGGCAAGTTTGCTTCTTTGAGGAGACAGTCAGGGCAGCTCTAGGTGGTGGTGTTAACTGGTGCTCTCTGTCCTTTGGTGTCCCCAGCTTTCGCTGGCTCCAGAAGTTTTAGGCGTCCATGGCTATTGACGTGCCCCTCTAGCCTCGGCCTCTGTGGTTACATCTTGTTTCCCCATGTTGGCATTTCCTTTTTCCAGGAGAATACCAGTGGTTTTGATTTACGGTCTAGCCTACCCTAGTGTGGCTTCATTTAGACTCTACAGCTGCAGGCTCTGTTTCCAGATAAGGTCCTGTCTGGTACCCAGCATGGGGTTTTGCTGTTGTTGTGTTTATTTATTTATTTTTTTGGTTTGTTCCTTGAGACTCACTATGTCATCAGGTTAGCCTTGATCTGGAGTCATCTTCCTGGCTCAGCCTCCTGAGTGTTGGAGTTACAGCTACAGTTGGCTTAGTGGTGAGGTTAGGATGAATCGTTTTGGGGACACAGCTCTACCCCATATGTATGCTGTTTAACCAGGCACCATACCCAGAGCTCTGGAGGAGGGCTCTTCTGCATCTCCTCTCCTGGGCACGGGTTGATTAGTGCTGCTGGCATTGGAGTCCCACAGGACAGGACCAGCCTGGGTGTGACCTTCACACCTCCCTTTTAAGGTCCTATTAATAGCTGCTAATTAGAGATATGAGCGGTGTTTGTAATTTCAGTTTCCCCCTCATGTGTTAGGTGCTTAGCATGCTCTGTGCACCTGCCTTCCCTCATACCAAACCCTTGTGTTTTATGTGAATCTTAACACTCTATGGGAGAGAGAAAAAAAAATAAACAGCTTGTCAGCAGCATGTGGGAGGTGTTGGGAATCATGCCTCATCCCAAGACACTTGCCTTTGTTTCAGGGATGATAGTCCCTCGGCCCTGGACAGCGTCCCTGGGTCTTGTTTCTTCCTGTTTGTGGACTGTGAAGATCTAAGATCCCGCGGCCTCAATGTGGGGGTGGGGGGTGGGGGGAGGGGTGTGTGTTTGTAGGGATAGATTGAGTGGAAGGCTCTAATGTTAAAGGCGACACACCTGAGAATGGCCGTAGCCTGCCTTCCTGCAGTGAGAACACTGATGCATTGATCACCCCTTCTCAGCCGCAACCTGCCGATGGGACAGGGTTAAATCGTTAAATCGTGGGATTGTGTCCTGTTGCCGGCAGACCCTCATCTTTTACCCGGATCCAGAATAAACAAACCCACATCTGGGTAAAAATTACAGTAACTAGAGGCTGAGGCCCACCTGCTGCGGGGCTCTCACGATGCCTGAAGAGGTAGGAGAGTAGGCACAGTAGACTCACTCCACGAGTGAGTGTCACCTGCTCCAGCTGTGGGAAAGGCTGTGAAGAAGTGATGCGTCCGGGATCCAGGTGTGGCAGGGAGCACATGCCGTTCCAGTCCACAGGGGCAGGATTCACCAGGTGTGGCAGGGAGCACATGCCGTTCCAGTCTATGGGGACAGGATTCACTCACCTAAGACTTGTTTCTTTTGCCACTGACTTTTCTTTGCTCATTACCCCTCAGCCAGTTCAAATTTGGAGGCAAAAAGCTTCAAGGCTGTGTTTGCCCTGGATCTGTCTAGGAGGTGCCTGGCCAGGAGCTGGGTGATGGGGACACACCTCCAGGAGCCCTGTGTTGGCTCCGCCCCTCTGCCCCAGCCCAGTTTCGATGCTCTCCTGACCATCCCAGAAGCAGTGACACACAGTGGCCTCATGCACAGTGCCCACAACCATACACAGTGAGGGGGGCCCACAACAGCCTGGAGGTCCCCACTTCAGGTTTCTTCTCCCCAAGAATAAAAAAACAACGAATCAGAAGTCTGGTCCCAAGTCACCCAGTTTTGTCACAGCCCAAGAAAGCTTAAGAGTCCAGGCAGAGAATTCAAGGCGGCTCTTTCACTAGGGAGACACAAGGAACAGAATGACAGTGTTTTTCCTTGGAAGAGGAGTCTGGGCGTTCCTGCAGAAGGAAGAGA